CAATGAGAACAACAAGAAATAACAGCAGCAACAACAACAGCAACAACAAAACCAACAACGACAGCAGTAGCAACAACAAAACCAACAACAACAGCAGTAGCAACAACAAAACGCAAAAGCAGCAACAACAACAACAGCAACAACAACAATTCAGCAGCAGCAGCAACAACAGCAGAAACAACAACAATTCAGCAGCAGCAGCAACAACAGCAGAAACAACAACAGTAGGAACAACAACAGTAACAACAAAGCTACAGCAAAATCTGCAACAAGAACAATAATCTTACTTTTCCAACGAGTAGCGACCCCAGGTATCGTTCCAGACTTTGCTCATACAAATAATTCACCACTTTATAGATCTTCTTGGTCATATCCTCGTCTATATTTGAGACATTCAAGCTGTTGGCAACTTTGCTCGCAAATATATAAACATCTGCTTTTTCGTAGTCCCCTTTGGGGCAGTGCTTATTAAAGTTGTGCAAGACAACTTTATTTGCCGGTAAAGTGGCTCCAGTATTGTCCTCCATTACGATTTGCTTGGCTATATTTTCTTTAAGGTAGTCTCCCAAGTTGCACATCTCGGTCCAAGGGAAGGAAAATTTTATTTCGACGTAGACACTTGGATCAGCGGCGTTACATTCTGTGGAAGTGAATTGAGATGGTGAAATGGCTAGTGTATGTCTCTTCTCTTCTCTTCTCTTCTCTTCTCTCCTTCCCTTCCCTTTCCGCTCCTTTTCTCTTCCTTTTCTTTCCACTCCTCAGTATCCAATCAAATTTGTGCCGTTCTTCTTATGCCAGGTATCCCTTTTTTATATTCACTATATAGGCAAGAACAACTCCCAACTTACCTTCAAAGTAACAAGTAGCAAAAACGACCACCAAAATCCAACAAATCTTCATCCTGACTCGAAAATATTGCCTCACTGCAAAGTAAAGCAATAACATTAACCTGTGTGCATATAAATACAATTTGAAGAAAGGGTACCTTGCGAATACTGAATACATGTTTTACCTATTGTAACCAAACCATCCATTTTTCATATCAATACAGATTCCTTTCTTTCATTCTTTTTCTTTCTTTCTTTCTTTCTTTCTTTCTTTCTTTCTTTCTTTCTTTCTNTTCTTTCTTTCTTTCTTTCTTTCTTTCTTTCTTTCTTTCTTTCTTTCTTTCTTTCTTGCTTTGCATAATGAATGGACCCTTCTCAAACAAATCATTTTCAATTTGAAGTAACATGGAAAATACAAAAGAAATGCCACAAAGTTTCATCGAGAAAAAGTGTGATTTCTTTTGGTGTGTTTTCCGATGTTAGTCTCGAATTCGAGAAGGGCAGCCCATAGCAGCTCGAGTCATCGCAGTGATTAAATTATAACGAGTCTTTTAGAAACCAAAACCAGGCTAAACCAACATGGTTTAACTATTGTAGTCAATACATCTCTTTTTAAATAAATACAGAATACTTTTCTTTACTTTGAATAGTGAATTGCAACTCAAGTCATCAAGGTGCTGACTATGACGAGATTTGAAATGAGGAGGAATCAGTAGCTAATCAGTAATGAATGCTTTATGGAATGAATACGTACTAGTACTGACTAGTTTTTAAGAAAGAAAACTTGTAGACATCGTAAAACACCACTAAAAGCCCTCTTTGATGAGTTCACCGAAACGTAACAACATAGATTAAAACGTATTTTATTTACCTTCAAATTAAACTATTGAAAATAGTGCATTTTGCCATCAACATTTCGATCAAATTGGTAGCTCACTCAGGACTTTCCAACTGCTTGGTTTGTAAAAGGTTTTCCCAAGCAATTGTAAAGTCCTAAGGTGAACTATCAATTTTATCGAAATGTTGACTCTTAAATAAATACTATGGACGCCTGGTTTAATAACGATTGTCTTATGGAAACTAATAATCGCTAAGACGATAAAGAGTTTTGCAAGGAATCATTGACCAGTTTTCTCATTTGACTATAATCGCGTATGTTACTATAGTACCAATTCTTTATGAATAAACTCGTTGTTTTAAACCTTTTTTTAATTTCAGAGAACAAAGTCATTCAGCCAACGATTTCAAACATAATTTTTATATACATAAATGCAAATTTTTTAATCGTTTTTAAAGTGAAGAGCCGAAAAGAATGAAATCAAAAAGTTGTTCATTGTGGAATACACTTTTTTTTAAAAGCAACAACAATAATACAAGTACAGGGTTTTAAGAACGTATCAAACTTTAGAAATTTGGACGAAAATTTTTCAATGTAAATCTTATAGATCGCTAAACAATCAAATTGTTATACGAAAGCTTAATCATGCTCGACAATAAAGCTTCTCAAGATTTGTTTTGATATATTGAAAATCTACTAAACTGAAAAAGTATAAGTTTTGTATCTTAGACTTTTATATTTGCGATAAAGCCGTTATGTCATGTATCATAGGAGTGCTTTGGGCAAAATTTCGCAATGTAAAACGCATTCAAACAAATAATTTTGAAGTATTAAAAATTATAAGAATTTTGCTAAGCTAGCGAGCGAGCGAGATTGGTTTAAAATCTGACATACCGTTAGGGCAAACAAGTCTAAAAGATAAAAAGTTTCAAAAAAAAGTCTTACCGTTAGGTTTTTGAATTAGACGTAAAATGAAATCGTTTTGGCGTCTTTAGGAGCGAGTTCTTAAAGATTTAAGCCACCTTTGAATTACTACTGGAGTAAAATAAATTAGTTCAGTGACGATGACAATATTGTTCGAGCGAACTCGAGCAGAACACTAAAGACTTGGCCGCGCTTGGATGTTTTCATTTGAATTACAAATTTGTTTTATTAGTATTCAAAGTTTATTTAGTAGATTCAAAGGAATTTCACGTACTTTGAGTTGCTTATTAAGACCACGTTCAAAAGACGTGTCTGATCTGTACCTTCGCGAGAAGGATAAGAAGAAGGAGAGGGAGAAGGAGGAGAAGGGAAAGGAAAAGAAGAAGTGTAAGTCAGTGAAATAGGAATAATGAGCGCATAAAAATTACGAAATAGTGCAAAGTTTCAGTTCCATAACATTTATTCATATCAGTAGCGACTTCCAGACGAATTATACAAGCAAGTTATAAACTCAACTTCTAACAAAGATGTTTGTCACATTCAGTGTCATTTCTTGTTCCTTCCTTCAGAATTTGGCTACAAACTAAAATGAAAAGGATATTCATATATCATATTTGCCTTCCAGACTAGTAAAAATGCATCGCAGTATCGGGTGTTTTGCATGAGGGACGCTTTATCATTGCTCACTCAATTGTAGAATTTTTTTCTGCTGCTCGGTTTTATTCCCACGAACTGCCAAGCCCAGCATACCAAATTTGAATTCCTTTTGTGATGGATTTCTTGGGGTACCCTGAGAAAAGGTACCCCGCAAGACTGGAAAATATCTGAAGCTATTATGGAAAAAGAAAAAACGTGGGGTGGATGGGGGGGGTGCCGTAGAACCTCTGCCCCACCCCCTCCGAGGCCCCGATACCCGATTTCGCTGTGTCGTGAGGTTAGTCAAGTCAAGAGTACTTGTTTGTTTCAGGAAAGCGCGCTATGTCCGTGGCTAACGGTAAACACAAGTAAACCCCCAGAACCTCCTTCTTCCGTGCGCGACTACCATATTCCAGCTATAAAAATCTTGCAGCCCGTCGGAATGCAGCTCAATTTCAAGGACATAATAATAATAGGTTCCTAATTCTCATGGGATTGAAACTCGTTTCTGCCCTCCAAATCGAGCTGATTTGACGTCACATACAGTTAAGTCACATTAATTCTAATTCCTTACAATGTTAAGCTCCTCCTCTTCCTCTTCGTCTTCGTTGGGCATTGGCGCATCTGTTCGTCGTGGTTCACCCCTGTTCATCGCCGTCAGTCCAGACGGGCCTTCTACAGCATCGTCTAGGGAAATGTCCTCTGTTCCTTTGCTGGTGAGCGAATCTCTCCTGGCTTTGCCGTTCCTTGGAACTTCCAGTTTCATTGTTTTGTTTGATTTCCCCTTGTAGTACTTTTAGTTTGGAGAAGCAATAAGAAATACTATGTTGTAATGGATATATAGAGAAGCACGGATGGAGTAGATGTGAAAGCGCGCTCGCTTTTCACCAAGGCCATACACGTGTTTGATACCCGGGCTTTGTGTCTTGTATAGAGTGTGTGCAACCATGTGACTCAAAAATCCCTTGAGATATAAA